CCAGAGGTACAGCAATACCCTGACCTTTATGCTGCTCCAGTCATGCCAGGTCCACCAGCAAGCCAGCGCTCGCTTCGGCACCACAGCAAATGCACCCCGCTGCGCACCAGCCCCACTAACATGCTGTCATAGAAACGTGTTCGCTGAAACGGACGGGATGCTTCATCTGAGATAGACAGTTATCGCAGATAACAAACATGCATGATGTCACCCAGTTAATAAAGCCGTTTTAATGTTGCTTCATTTATTGTTTAGAACTTGGATCTGCTCCAACTGCAGCCACTTTTAAAACTAAGACAAAGACTGTTCTTTTTCTGCTGCTTTTAACGAATGCATATTAATTCCACACACCACTGCACTTTCTCTGCTTCTGTTTTTACTTGTATTTTTCATCCATTACCAATCACCAACTGACTTCATTGTGCTCTTTAGTTGACTGTATAGATTTTGATGTTTCAGATTTTCTGGTATGCATATAAAGTTTGCATTCTGTTTTATCTATATGCTGTATGCATTTTAATGTTTTATCCATCACTGTACATTGTGTTAAGCACTTTGAATTGCTGTTGTGTATGAAAATATGCTATATAAATAAACTTGCCTTTCCTAATCTTTAAAACTGTGGATGTTTATCGCATTATTGCTTTGTAAACTTGTAATATAAGCTAGTGAGTGAAAGTCCTTTAATATCTCCTGTATTCCAAACCCCAAAAGATCATTAGGAACATCATCACCACTATACAATAATCTGTTATTTAAAGCAGAAGTTCAACATTTCAGGAAGTAAAGTTATTTGTTATATAGTATCAATCTACTCTTCTAACGCTGTACTCCAAGTAAGAAAGTGCATTTCTCAAAATGATGTGTTCCCAAAACTACTGCATTAAAGTCACCACATTTTACTAATTATAAACCTTGTACAAAAGCCCCAGATACTGTAGGGTCCGATGTGCAGGCCTGATGGGGTTGTCCAAAGACAATCCTAGATTTTTCGGGACTTTTCTTTGCTTGCGTTCGTTGTCTGTGCTCGTCTCTGACTGTACCAGTGGATGATACGTGATTGCTTATGTCCTTGTAAAAGAGCTGCTTTAAATACCTAATGTTGCCTTTGTGTTCTGTAACTTGTTTGTATAAAATATCTTGCAGTTGAGCGCCATTCATACTATGTATTTCTTTGACAGAATGATGAAGTAAAAGCCCCAGTTTTTCTCATTTTGTGAAAGATGTGGTTCTTTGTGAAGTGGAGAAATAAAGGAGTAAACGACTACAAATGAATCCCTTACAGTTTCCGGAATCTGTAAATTGGTTGTCCCTGCTTTCAATGTGCTGATGAGGAAGGAGTCACAGAGTAGCACAGGAAGCAGTAGATCTCCTCAGCTCTGGATCGACTCATACAGCCTCCTTTCTGTATGGCTTCAATGGAGTTGGAGGAGGAAATCAGGGGATAAGGGTTGTTACACTGCATAAACAAGAGTGGAAAGAGAGTATTCGTTTTTGTTTTGCTGCAATATACACTGATCAGTCATAACATTATGACCACTGACAGGTGGAGTGAACAGCTGATTATCTCATTACAGTGGCACCTGTCTGTGTGCGGGGTCTATTAGGCAGCAAGTGAACACTGAGTCCTTGAAGTTCATGGAAACAGTGTAGGATAATGTACGTATAAGAAAATGAGTGACTTTAACAAGGGTCAAACTGTGATGGCTGATGACTTTGTCAAAGCATCTCCCAAACTGCAGGTCTTGTTGGATGTTCCTGGTCTGCAGTGGTTAGTACCTACCAACATTGTATATGGAAGGACAAACAGTGAACTGATGACAGGGTCATGATGAAAAGGTTGACTTAGTGTAGATAAAATTTTTAAATTTCATTCAAACTTTTCAAAAGATTCCATTTTGTTGAATGCTGAACAAACGCAGAAAAAAAAATCAACTGGACTTGGTTTTAGGTCGAAGATGTTTCACCTCTCATCCAAGAGGCTTCATCAGTTCTGCCCAACTGGCAACAACAAAATCAATGCAAATACTTGACTGCTAAAAAAAAATCATGAGCTCCAGCTGCTTGGTGACACAGTACAAATTATCAATGGACATATACATTTCCTGTTTAGTTGCCAGGTTGAAGAATCTATAGTGCCGACCTTAACATGGCCTGTGTTTTCATTGATAAGGTTCTGCGGTCCAAGTTGGTGAGATATTTAACATCTAGTTCAAAGTTAACTATGACAGCAGAGCAGGTTCACTATTTAGCTTAGTTAGGTTGACTTTTTTTGGGCATAAATTCATTGATCAAGAGAAGATCAATGTGCTATTCCTGTTGTCAAAGTGAAATGTTACTGTGGTCACCAACAAGACGCACACATCTGTTCAACCTCCCCTTTCACTCCTGGACAGTCTCCCTGTCTAAATTAAAGACTGCAATAGCTTTTCCTACTATTTTGAACAAAAATAATACATGATATTATTCAATATTAAAATATTTTCATGACATTGGATAGAAGAGCTTCTGAAACAGCATTTCAGCTGTCACAAGACACTAAAATTCACTATTTAAACCTCAATAATTATATATATATATAAAAAAAACAAAGCTTGTCCATATTAGCTTGTCCCCTTAACTGCCAAATCAGAAGCCAACTTCAGCGTCATACGGCTTCCCCCAGTATTAATATTTTTTTCATGCCCATGGTTTTGTTTTTTTTTTAAGTATAAATGCTTCAGTGCCAGTGTTTGCTTTTTCAGTTACGGCTTTGTTCTCGATGCCAAGCTTTATTTATCAGTGCCAAAGACTATAGTCATCGACCTGGCGCCATAGAAGAACAGCATCAAACATGAAACTTGTAGCACTGGTGTCATGTCTGTGTGTTCAGACTGTTGTTTTAAACTGACTCTCTCTCTAATAGGGCTCTTAACAGCTGGCAGACAACAGCGGCTTCCCAGAAGGAGCTGAGAGGACTGTTACATATCCAAGCCGAGCTGAGCCAAGCCAATGGTGCCAATGCTAAAATAAATGTTCGACACAGTGTCCTGATGGCTCAGTTGGCAGCCTGATCGTGTCAGTGATGCTCCACTCTCAGACTCAGCGTCCTAACAGCAGGCAGGTGGAACTTTTGTACCCGTTTTGATACTGTTATCACTTTATTACATTTAATTCATGGGGTCATATTAATTCCTGTCTGTCATCTGTTATTACCTCCTATCATCCTGCATATCAGGTCTGTTCTCTTTTTTATATACATGCACTCACTGACCACTTTATTAGGGACACCTGTACAATTGTTTGCAATTCAGAGCAACACCTCCACCTCCAGATCTGTGTTTATGAAGCTCAAAATGTTTGTTTCTTGTGAAATTGTCATAAATGTATAAATTATGTTTATTATTGAGGTCATAGTTAAAGGTGCTGTTGTACTGGACTGCATTATAATCAGAGGTGTTCCTAATATTCGGACCCTCATGTATGTAGCCGAGGAGGCCAAAATATAGATGCACCTCATCCACCACCGTTAACAATGACCTCAATAATAAACATATTTTAATTTACACATCTACAACAGTTTCACCAGAAACTGACATGTTGAGGTTCATGAACACAGATGTTAAGGCAGAAGTGTTACACTGAAGTGCATGCGATTGTACAGGTGTACCTAATAATGTGGACGGTGAATGTACAGTCATCGTCAGCTGGCTGCTGCAGCACTGCTCTCTTCACTTTGTACCTATGATTTTCCTTGTACTTTTATTGATTGCCTTTCTGCTGCTACCACTGGGCTGGTGTTAAGACCATCTGGCCGGCTTGGCGATTAGTTGAGCATATTTTTGGCATTTTTTAAAGATAACAGGCATTAGCCATTTCTGCTCTCGCGAGGCATATTAGCAGAAGACGTGTTAGGGTGATTTTTATTTTATGCACTTAAGAATGGTTTTATTTTATAGCACACATAAGTTTACATACTTATATGTCACAGATATGCTTATATAGTTATGAATATCACTATATGTGTTCACTTAACCACTGGTCAAATATTTGCTGTGTGAGTTACTGAAACACTAATGCAACATCATAAGTCTGGTGCACTGAGTGGAAGGACTAATCATCCCACAGGTTTTCATTAGATTTGTTGCCTTTTCCTAAAAGAGCCCATTATTCCCTCTGCTCCTTGAAGCCAGGGGAGTTGAGGTTTGATAAGATACTAAGAAGCCTTATGGGCTGTGCAAAGTGTCTGTTTCAGGACAAGGTCGCGCCAGTGACGAGATCGGACCAGAATGGGGGACCAATGACGGGAGAGTTAAGTCTAAACCACAGCTTCTCCCCAACAGTTTTGGACCAATTAGATAGTAGCATTTTTTCATACAAATATTGTATACCAACCAGATGAGGACAGTCTTTTCCTGTTTAGTCTTGCTTGTTTATCCTAAACAGATAGGCTCCATGTGCACATGCTAATTTTGATACGTTAATGCATAATAAATTTCACATTGAGAAATATATATCCTCTTATTAGTCTTCTCTTTTCAATATAAAACGAACAGCACCACAGACGTCTACAAACACATCTGCAGGCAGCCTTTGTGTCTTTTTTCGAATACTTGAAATAATTCAAATATTGTCATAATTCACTTGTGTCAAATAAATGCTCATTAAAGTTCATTAAATTTGTCTCATTGTCTCAGCCGTTGCAAAACCCACGTCGCTCGGTTCCACCACACTTGACTGTAACGTCTGCAGCTCAGCTAAACAGCAACCTTTACAGTAACAAATGGGCTCTCCTCCCCAGTTGTATGTACATGAATGACACAGGGTCAAACACAATGAGTCTGCAGGAAATGTAACTCTATACTCAAAAACAACTCTCAGAGGTCACCAGTGTACTTAAAAGACTAGTACTTCCTACACTAAAAGTCACTACTGTATATTTGCAGTGTATGAGGTCCACTCTCCGCAGGAGAGTCCACTGTGGATCAGTGGGTGTTTTACCAGGTTGAGGATGGAGTTAAGCCGGTCCAGCTCACAGTTGATGACGATCTGATAGTCCTTCTTGTAGTCCAGGTCTGTCAGCAGCTTGATGAAGCCTGATTCTGTCAGAGCGTCTAAGTTAACGGAGGTGACCTGCCAACTCCGCTCCGCTGCCGTGTCCAAGATCCTCTGCAGCACTGACAGACCTGAGAGAGCAAGATCAAATGTGAATCGGTAAGTTTCCACATCAGCTGCTTCTGTGTGACTGTATTCCGGAGAAAGTGACAAGATCATGGCATTGCCGAACAAACAGTGACTCTAATTCATAAGACATTTCATTGCTGCTCAAAGTGCATTTATGTCTTTTAACTAAGAAAACATGGAACAGGAAAGCTGCAGCTTTTGTGACGCGCTGCTCTGAATTGCTGGCTGCAGCTATAGGGTCAGACAAAGCAATCATTTGGCTAATCTGGATAAACTAACATTCAGTAGCTCAGTTCAACAGCAGCTAATAGCAACCCAACACTGCTCAGGTACAGTCCTGCAGCGAGTGCAGATGAGTCTGTGACTTGCCCAGAGCGAGCATGGACACCTGCGACAGACAACATGTAAAGTCATAACTGTACAGAAGGTAATTAAACAACTGTAACAAAAGCTGTAACTGTAATGATCTTCTGATAATACAATGACAATGGAAACAATGTAATGTTATATTCTGCGCAGGTTATTATCGTACATTATGAGTTTAGTGGCAACTGTTTTGTTAAACCTGACTTAACTTCACTGCTGCATGTTATTAATGAACACTATAAAACAGAAATTGTATCTCTACAATATTTATGTGGAATAGGAAATTATTGCAACCTTGAACTGTCTTTCTTGCATGAAATATGTGACTGTGTTTCAAATTTCTGAGATCAGGAGAAGTACATAAAATAAAAACAACACAAACACACTATCAGCATCCCTGGGTTATTACTTTAACAAAAACGTTTCTACTAAACTCATAATGTAATAACTTAATGTGATCATTTGTTACAATATGTCCACAAACCTACCGTTTTGCCCTCTCCATTTTTATGACATCAGAATAATATTACATTATGTGCAGTTTTTACATTATGGGTTTGTACAGCAAGCCCCAACAACAGTCCACATTTGATTCATACAGTGAACCTTGATGGAGCGGCTCATGGATCCATGCTGCGGCCAGTTCACACCTGGAAATCCCACCGTGAGACAAAGCTCTGACACCAACTACTGCTAAAAGCAGAGAATAACCTTTACATTTCTATTTCTGTTCAATAAACAAGACGAGCTTCATAACAGACAGCTGTAGAGACCTGTTTCATATTCCTACAGTCATCATCACTTTATTATCCTTAAAGGGAAATTAGCTTGTAAGAGGCACAGAAACATAGCCACAAACATGTACAGTACAACTCAGCAGACAGTCCAGTACAGCTCAGCATATCCGTATATGATGGTCCTATGTTACTGGCAGCTGTAAGTCAGTGATGTAAGCAGGACAGCACACAGTAGGATGTACATGGAAAATACAAAACAATCATAAAATTATGCAAAGCCACAAAAATAAACGTGCAAACAAACAAATAAATAAGCACACATACATGATAAACCACCCTACCCACAATGCAACAGCTTTTACTTTATGCAAAGAAATGGCTGATGGGATAAAAGAATTCCTTGTTCTAATACTTCTGTTTCTGAGGGCCCAGGACATCGGTCTGACAGCTGATTACTTTTCATAGCACTTGTTGCGTTTCATACAGAAATGGCTAAGTCTGGAACTGAGGACCCAAATGCAGGACAGCGATGAGGCTGGCAGGCACGGTTTTGCAGTTTATTTTCATGAAGAAAAAGGTAGTGCTGACAGGGTGTTAGGGTGCGCTCGAACACAGAGTGAGCGAGCAGATAAAAAGCGGACCCAGGTGGCTGGCTTCGGTGCAAGCAGTGAGGTTTATTTACAGTGAAGGTAGTGACATATATACAGGAGGAGTAATGAGGTAGACGACCGGGTGTCGATCAGCAGCAGCAGAAAAACAGTCAGTGGTATGGTGGATGATGATGTACCGGGCTGCGGACGCAGAGATCACTCCTGGGCTGGTCGAGGTGGAGGTGATGATGGCTGTAGACAGAAGAGCAGGGATAAACTGGGTAAGGGAGACTGTGCATCGACCTGTGAGGCGGTGGCTGGTGGTGTAGATTAAATCCAGGGCGGTCCAGAGGAGAGGTCCGAAGAGGAAGAAGACACTAGAGACGGCAGGGCAGGATAACGACTAGGGGGCTAACAAGGACTAGAGAGAACAAAGACAATCTTAGCATAAACTTGATATAACAACCACTGGCCTGAAGACAGAGAAAGAACTGGCAGGGGAGTGACTGGTGAACAGTGTATAAGTAGGAGGAGACTAATGAGGTGCAGCTGGTGAGTAATCAGGGAAGCGGGGCAGGTGTGTTGAATAGTGTAATCAGTGCAAGGGCTAGGCTAGTGTGAGAAAAAGAAGAGAGGAAGGTGTAGCCGGGCAAACCTGACACAGGGAGTCTAGGCTGGCAAACACCTTGAGGAGAGGGGAGAGGTGAAGGCAAACGAGTCTAAACAGGGGTTAGAAACATGAAGACAGTCTGCGCCAAGCAACATCCAAGAGGTTGGGATAGGGCAAAGTCCAGGGTGAGGCAAAGTTCAAAAACCGAAACAAGTCGAAGACAGGATAACTAGAAAGCACAGAGGGATAGAAAACTGAGGGAAACAAGAAGCATAAGAGCTGCACAGAGAGCCAGCGGCTCCCAAACTGAATATCAGGCTGTTTTTTGTTTTTTTTTTGTGGAATCAAACTCTTGTGATGTCTGCGGACTGCCTCAAGCTGGACATGGCCTGGGTCAAACTTCAAAAAGCTTCTTCACACTGAGACGTTGTAGGCTGTTTTACTTTTGCTTAAGTAGCCTGATCTGAATAACAAAATAAATGAATCGTGGTGATGATGAGGAATTTTCCAAGATGAGGTTTATCTGAGAAGCTGGATTCCTTACACTGGGCTGACAAACCTGACCTTGCACAGTCAGAGCGCCAGCAGAAATATGATACACTAACTGTAATCAAACCTGGGCCCTGATGCAGATCAAATGAGGCCACTATGCTATCAGCTCTGTGAGGCTGCACTTAGGCACAGCTGATTTGATCAAACAGCAAAGTCTACCAAGAGTTTTACCATGCTAACATTTTGAAATCAGCGCTAAACACAGCAGAAGTTGAGGGGAATACCTTTAGTTTTCCAGGTATTTGATTATAACCAAGTACTGGACAAATTAAAATTACGACTGGTGAAACAGTCCAAAATGAACCTAGTTCTAAAGGATACTGGGCTGTGTTGCTGACTTGTTGTTGTTGTTAGGTTTTCAGTCCACTGGTGTCTAAACAATCATCGATAAATTCATTTTTAATCGTCTTCTAGAATCTGTCTCTGTTTAAAGCCCTTTGAGTCAGTACACGTAACATGATGACATCGGCATTTTACAGTATAGACACACAAAAGCACAATGTGTTCAAAGGTCAACAAAACTCAGCTCGACTTCAAATACCGGAGGGACACATGCAGAAAAACATGTCTTCGAAGACACTGACACACACTTCTATCCCTGTGAGGACACTCCCTGACATAAGGTGTCCCCTAGTCCCTTAACTGACCTGAAACTAAACCCGATACTACTGTGAACATTATAACCAAGCCTGAACCGAGGGTTGTAGTCACCTGTGAACAGCGCTACAGGTCACTGTACGCCAAAACAACCAGAAACAAGGACGGTTTGTTCCCCGTGCCATCGCTCTGATGAACACTTGACCCACACTGTGTGACTGGGCACAGCGATCACTACGGTCCAATAAACTGTAAATATAACCACTGTATACAGTCTATCAGTCTGGAAGCTGTTCTGTCTAATCTGTGTATACATTTATAAATAAATCGTGCCTCTTTTCCTCCTGTTCCTTCTCCTACTAATTCCGCATTTTTCCTGTTTGAATACACAAAGTTTTATTTTATTTTATTGTTGCCTTCCAAAGCACACTGAGTGCCTCTGTACCAGAGTCAAACTCATGCTTGGCCAATAAAGATTCTGAGCACACAGACAATATGGGAGATATTTTAGACCCAGTGTGCCTCACACTTTTCAAGACCACCACTGCCTCTGATGTCCACTGCAAATAAACCTCCACAAACCTGCTTAAAAATCACAGAAAAAGTTGCTCCTTGTAACTCCAGAACTGGACAGAGTAATTTTTTCAGTATCAAAAATACTTCACAAAATAATAATTACTCCTGATCTATTTCTCGTGGTTGGTGCTGCTTCCCTTCACTGTCAGATAGCCCTCCACCTTCAATCCTGACGTTACCAGATCCAACTAGTGATCTTTCTGTCTGTGTTCCCTGAGCAGCTATGTGCCTGTTCTTTAAATAAAGTTGCAATTCTGCCTGTTTGTCAATCAGGCAAACCTCCTCCTCATCGCCTCCATAACCTCCATGACGTCCAGAGACACTTTCCAAGGCTTCCATCCACCACCTGCTGGCTCCACTCCACCACTATTAGCGTCTAGACTCCACAGGATCTGTCCCAGCTCCTATTTTCATTTGGGCATATGCCTGATGAAGATGCTTCACATCGATGGAGTCTGATCATAAAAAAAATCTCTCTGTTGATTAACCCAATACATTTTGTCATTCACTTCAATCTGATCTCTCTTGAACCTTATCAGCACACTAATTCTCCTGGTTTGAGAGGGAGCAAACCCCTGCAACCAGGTTCTGGAGTCAAGAGTGAAACCAGCAGTTGGGTCTGTTACACCCCCATATAGTGCATGACTGCAGTGTTGAGATGTCCACATACCTTTGGCCGCATAATGATTAGCCGCTCTCTACACCTGGTGCGAAGAGGAGTTAGAGAAAAGAGGGAAACTGAGCTCATAATTGCTGCTGTGTGACAGAGGCTGTGTGATGACCTCTGACAGGTAACTGCTCATTAGGATCCACACCGTGACAGTGTTTACAGCTGCTGTGAAGTAACACGCACTCAGTGAGCAAAAAAAGTCAAGTGTGGTAATGACGATGTATAACCTTCAATTAGACATACAGCCGAACAAGACACCCACACACAGAGAGAGAGAGAGAGAGAGAATAATGAGGTAAGAGAG